TAGCACCAAGCGATGCATCTATCTAATCCTGTTCAGGTGAACTGTTTGTTGCATACGGCGCAGCACGTAGATACTTCCTAGACATCGCCACATTAGCTTCGATCTTTCTCCGGCTTGCTTGCAGAATGCTCGCCATATTTTTATTTTTTTGAGAGCGGAAAAGCACTGTATTTTGCCCCCATCAATAAATAGTGCTTTCAGTGGCATCGCGTATCCTTTAGTAATTGGAACCCACTGATCAAGGATAGCTTGAAAAACAAGCTGCAGTCATGAGAAAAACAGTCATGAGTACATATGCATTAACTTGTCTTTGAAGTAAACGGTCGAGACACTAGTTTTCCAAACGATGGCTTGGAATCAAGGCGATGTCAAAACTATGACATTTGCGAACAGCCAAATTGTTCCGGTGTAACAATAAACGGTCCGATGTGTGCATCAACAAAGATACACACTACAGCTTTACATTGCTTCTCTGCTTCGTAGAAATTAATGCAAACTCTGGTATGTTCGAATTGTTCCAGTTGGATTACATTTATTGTAATCGTAATTGTTACCCTTACGCCGCTTGCAATGCTAAAAATTCCGATTTTGAATCGCTGGTCTGGTTGCAAGCTGGAAACATGCACTCGAATCATGTACCGCTGCAGGAACCTATTCTCAACTATCGTTTATATTTCTACAGTTGTCGTTGTTGCCGCAACAGGTAAAGCGTCTGAATTAAAATTTTGCACTGGCAAATCAAAGTCTCTGACCGCCAATAAGTTAAGCTGCATGCACAATTAGGAAGAATTAAAGATAAGAGACTCTGCATACTTCAACCTCGGAAATTCGTGACTTTGCATATATAATTCTGAATAAAACAAATTAATTTTTTGAGTGAGTAAAATGAAGTTAAAATTTTAACTCCTCCCATATTTCACTTTTTATAAAGGGTATAAAAGCATTCGCTACAAGAACCAGTTGCTGAGAATGTTGTAAGTGATTATTTTTTTGCCCCGAAACAAGCTGACGGCTGTTCTGGCAGTCTGGGTTAATATGTCTACACTAGTATACCACTGAATCTCGGTGAAGCTCAGTTATTTCCAGAGAGAATGCATTCTCTGGCTGGTTCAAACTACTAATCTACGAAAG